ATAGTTAACGTAGCATTCAAAAAAAAAAAGGATAATAGTTAACGGTGTTAATATTACCGTTAACTTAGGTTACGTGGCGCTGACGATATTTATATTCCTAAATCCTACTTATATATTACTTTATAAATATTTAAACTTAATTATTTTTACCACCAATATATTAAATTAGTATGTCCAAAGTAAATAATTACAACCATGTTCCTAATGATATTTGGACAATTGTCCTTAGTTTCACCACTTTTTAAAGTAGAGGAACTAAATTGAACAAAATAAAGGTATAAGGACTAAATTGAACAAAATAATATAGTACATGGACTTCATATGTACTTTGACCTAAAAATTTAACAAAATGAAAAAATACAATTATTCAAAATTTAACTTAAGGATGTGTTTGGAAACCAGGAAAACAGAAATCATTCTCCGAGTTTTTGGTGGTTGGCTACACTTGAAAAATTTAGTCAACGAAAAATATTTTTCGTTGACAAGGAAAAATGTGCTCATTTTGGCAAAAAATGACTTCTGCCACATTTCAGCTCATGGTTTCCATCGTAAACCTCAATGAATTAATTTTTTATTTTTTGTTTCTGGCGGAACTGGTTTTATTATTTTTTTTTTAAAGGTTTCTGGCAGAACTGGTTTCCGCCAGAAACCATAGCTATGGTTTCGGCGGAAAACAGTTCCGTCAGAATTTTTTTTTTTTTTTTTTTTTTTTTTTTTTTTTTTTTGGGTTTCAAACCAGTGGTAATAAAAAAAAATAATTTATATTCTAAATAAAATAATTAAAATATTTAAATTATTTGGGTGTGTTTGGTTCATTTTATGAAAAATGAGTAGAATTGTATAATTTTCTTATGCAACTAAACACGGGAAAAGAAAAATATTTTCTGAAAAATGACTCATTTTTCAGAAATCATTTTCCTGCTTTCTAGACCGACCTTAAAAGTGAAATTATTTGCTTATATTTATTTAAATACAAAATTATCAAAGCTAGATGGGCCAAGATTGAAGGAGAGGTGCACCAAGTGTGTGACTAAGAAAAGGCAGTTGAGTGGGTGATTATTAATTTATTATGGCGATAATATTGCTCCATGTGCTAATTAATATGATTGGTGGTTATTCTTATGGTAGTGCAGAAACAATAAAAATTCTGTGCCCACTTTCCTACTATACAAACACCCACCAAAAAACTATATACAACTACCCACTCTACTCTCTCATTCGACTAACCACACTACTATATGATTATCTATAAAAGGGGGATTTAAATTACCTACCCCATCACCACAACTACTAAAGAATCATGTCGAAATTCAAAAAGGGTTAATTTATGTACTAAGAAGAGAAATGTACATACATATATATACACACAAAATAGTGGAGATATTGTGATTGAGTCAAAAAAGACTCGTAATTTTGACTGTTTAACTTTCACATAAAAATTGACATTGTCATTTATACAAATACACATATATATAGTTAAAATGATGATGGAGACCACAAATACACACATACTATACAAAACAGGGAGAGTGTATTGGAGATAGATAAATATGATGAATGGGATAGTAGTTGGGTATACCTATACATTTACGATACTTTGTGCAGACCAGATCATATGTATTATAATAATAATAAAAAAAAAAGTCAAATTACCTCATCGACTCCCAACGAGAGCAATGTCTTGCATGTGAAACCTAATTCAACAAATATTTTTAAGTATAACATTAATGACATCTAATTATGTATTGCTCCCAAGTCCCAACAAGTGATCTGATTACAAATGTAGTTATAAGAACCACATTTTTAATTTCCCAACAATTTATTATATGGGTAGGTAATATATATTTCTGGTAGCAGTAAGAACGTAACCCCACAACATGCACTATGATCCTTTAATTTGGTTGCCTCAAAACGTACCATCATTATCAGCTTCTACATGTGAATATGTCGTGCTACTATTATATTGTTCGTATGATGTTTATAACGTGCAGTGCGGAGTTACGTGTCAATTGAAACCGCAGGTCCTAGTCTTTTCGCCATTGAATGCCAGGTTGATTCTCAGCATCTCATGAAACCTGTCATGTTATTAGTTAAGGTTTTGTGACAATCAATGTTCCGTTTCAAAAATGTTAAGAAATATGATAATTGAGTGCGAGCTGAGAAATATATACCAAGGAAATGTAACGATAAAAACATTTCAGACGAGTATGACATATATATAAATCTTCAACAAAGAAATGGGTTGAATGTAACATATGTCATCTGTAACTTTTTAAGCAAATGCATGTCAAATAACTAAAAACGCATATGAGACCAATTAAAATTACCAAAATGATTTACACAAAAACTTTAGGTGGATGAAGACATAAAGTGATGCAACTGTACGTGGGGTTCTCACGAGATCAGACAAAGGGTGATGCATAGTTTAATTAGGTAATGAGTTTTTTAATTTTCGATGTATTTAAATTTTACACATGTTTCTAAATGTGTTAACATGCCCGGAGATGATAATTCACATGTTATATTAGTTACATCATATGTTAATGACAATGATTTTTTAGGTTTTGTTTTGTATGTAGCAAGGTGCATTTAAAAGATCTAAGGGTTAAAAATATTTTTAAATATTAGTTAGGTCAAGTAATTAATTTATTTTTTGAAAAATGGGTTTTGATTAAAATTAAAATAAATAAATAAATAAATAGGTAGATTTGTTCTTAACTATAAATACATATCAAATTTACTTCAATATGCTTTGCGTTACTCACTTACTCCCATCTTTATCATTTCTTTTCTATTATTATATATTAATTAAAAAGAGGGAGAAGAGGTCTCGAGATAAACAAGAGATCGAACCTCGTGTAGTCATATCTTAGTATAGTTCTAAAGTCTTTATTGCTAACAGTGAATTGAATGAGATTAATATTTACTAACTGCAGTCTCCCTCAAAAGTGTTGGACAAGAACAAGCTAAGGGTTCTATATACATTGAGCCATTCAAGCTCTTTAGCATGCAAAATAGAAGTTTTCTTATACTCATCTTCCACAACGTAACCACTTGCACCAATTAGGCCTACCTACTACTTAGAAATTATTTTAAAATTTTTGAGTTTAAATTCTAAAACAATTCATTTGAAAATATAATACAGAACTTATTTACATGGTTGGAAAATGTTCTTTTAGATCAAATGGGATTTAGGCATCTCAAGGAGGAAATTATCAAAATGATTGTTTAATAAAATGTTCTTTTAGATCAAATGGGATTTAGGCATCTCAAGGAGGAAATTATCAAAATGATTGTTTAATAAAATGGTTGAAGGTCCTACCGGGAGTCGAACCCAGGTCGCTGGATTCAAAGTCCAGAGTGCTAACCACTACACCATAGAACCCTTGACGTCCATTTTCTGTACATATATATAATTAGTAGAAACCATAAAATTGTTAATGCTTTAAGATTCTTGTAAGGCAAAATAAGAAACCCAAGTACTCAAAAACCAAATAATAAATTAAATATTTTTTTACTAAATATTGTCCCATTTGATGAGACATATGGATTGAATAATATTTTTTTAGGGTGTGATATATTTCTGTATTGAGAATTGAATATTGTTGTATTTATGAGGAGGTATAATTTTTGTGGAAATTTCAATATATACTGAGAAGAACGAAATTCTTTTTAGCGGATTAAAAAAAAAATCTATTCACAAAAATATCAAACCATAATAATTGATATAATTGGAATAAGTGTCAAATAAGTTATTCAAGTAATCCAACTACATAGCAAACTGCAATTGGACTATGGAACTCAAAAAAATTATAATTAGATCCTCAAACAATGCAAAATAATGCAATTCAATAACATGTTGAACTAGTAACATATTGACGTGACAGTTACCTAATTTTAAAATATTTTTTTATTTTATTTTAATAAATTTAAATAAAATAATTATTAAAAAAAATACTCGCCTTCTTCGATGAGGAGACAGCCTAAAAGGCAACTCGCAACTGGGTTTCCTTCTCTAGTGAGAAGGTGAGAACGCAAATGGGTTGCCTTCTCCATTGAGAATGAGAAGGTGACCTACTGGGTTGCTTTCTCACCGAAGAAGGCTAGTTTTTTTTCTTTTTATTTTAAATAATTATTTAATTTAAATATATTAAAATAAAATTTAAAAAATATTTTAAAATTCGGTAACTACCACGTCAGCATGTTACCAGGTCAATAGGTTATTTTAGGTTGAATTGCATTATTTTGTAGTGTTTGGAGACCTAATTGTAATTTTTTTGAGTTCGATGACCTAATTGCAGTTTGTTGTGTAGTTAAATGGCCTATTTAACCCTTATTCTATTATTTTCTTATTAAAAAAAAAAAATAGCCAATTCCTTGCACACTCACCTATTATGCAAACATGGGCTAAGTTGCAAAGGATTACGATACAACTATTTTTGAGTCAAAGTAGGACAAAGCTGAAATATGAAGTGGTGTGACATGAAAGGGGATTAAAGACCAAGACTTGGGTTGTCACGTGGTAACCTTCAAGCCTTATACGCGTGGCTCAAACTCGAGTTCACACCTTATGTGACTATGTACAATGTCACACCTAATGTGACTATATAGCTCAAGCATGAAGCTGCACTTTACGCAATTGTGTTGCCCAGGTGCGAGAGGCATTGCGACCTCGTCAAGGTTCTCCCATCCCGTGGACCTCACAAAATTAAAAAAATTTTGATTTTGTAAAAGAAAAATTCACTAAAAAAGTGTCCCTCATTTATATAAAGTCAATATAGTTAATTTTTTATTCCTAAAAGCTGAGTAAAAATCTATATTGAAGATGTTCTAACTATTTAAATTCCAAAATAAGAATAAATGTACAAGCTCAAAAAGAAAATATTTTAAATTTAAACATTCTAATCGTACATATTTTTATTAGTATTTTTATATTGCTAAATACTCATTTCAATTTGGTAGAATGTTCAGAAATGCACAAAATTTTGGAGTATAACACTCGTGAAGCGACCTCACTTTCACCTACAATATCCGTCCGTCGTATATACCGATACCGTTGACCTTTCAATCTTCCGATCGATTGAAAATGGAGGAGAAATACAAATCGCTGCAAGTAATTCATAAACCTGCAAATTCTCGGGTCGTTACCGTATACCTGAACCGACCCGCACGCTTCAATGCTCTCTCACGCGACTTCTTCACGGAGTTCCCTAAGGCCCTCGCATCGCTCGACGAAAGCCCCAACGTCGCCGTCATCGTCCTGGCCGGAGCCGGGAAACACTTCTGCTCTGGCATCGAGGTCGATACCCTAGGCTCGGCCGCTGTTGAATCCCAATCGTCTGAACCTGGCCGCACGCGCGAGAAGCTCCGACGTGACATCAAATTTATGCAGGACGCCGTGACGGCGATCGAGAGGTGCAGGAAGCCTGTGATTGCCGCGGTTCACGGCGCCTGCATCGGCGGTGCGATTGATATCATTACCGCCTGTGACATTAGGTACTGTGCGGCCGATGCTTTTTTCTCAGTTAAAGAGGTTGACCTGGCCCTTGCAGCTGACCTCGGGACCCTCCAGAGGCTTCCGAGTATCGTCGGGTTCGGAAATGCAATGGAGTTGTCTTTGACCGGCCGGAGATTTTCGGGATCGGAGGCTAAGGAGCTAGGCTTGGTTTCTAAGGTTTTCGGTACCAAGGAAGCCTTGGAGGAGGGCGTAAGAGCTATTGCTGAGGGTAATTTTCTTTGAATTAATCCTATTTGCAATTTTCCTAATTGTTCTATTTAATTAGTTTCATTATAAGATCATTGAGTTAATGAAATTGCTTACAGGTAGCACTTGTGTTGGTCTTTTATTGCATTTAGCTAATGCTCCAAAACCTACTTGCTTTGTATATGGTTATCATTGCTAAAATCTGCAATTCTTCATATATCACTATATCTGCATGTGATTTAAAGAATTAAAGGGTTCTTTGTGTGTTGCCACTACTGTTTGGGTTCTTCATGTCATGACAAGTTATTTTTTTTGCTGTAATTATTCAAAATTTAAAATGACATGAAATGTGTTGATTTGGTCCATTGCATGATATGGTAATCAGTTTTATATGCGATCCGGTCTGAAGTCTGAACCCCTATGTTATGAACACATCGTACAAACGAATGCTATTACCTATCAATCTTTTGATAAATCAACAGACCTTGTGCAATTCGGAGACCTTTGGCTTTTACTGAATCAGATGTTCCCCTTGTTACTCGAACAGAGAAGCAAGATTATTTCAGAATGATTTACACGGAGAACAGATTCCTGCTTAGCTCATACACTTACATTCTTCTTTCATCTATCATCCTTTTAATTGTCATTTATGTGTCCCTCGTTATGTTGTATTCATGCCACATGGAGCATTAGTTGTAAAAAGTGCATGTAATGCCCCTGCTTGCTGGCCCATCCAGCGGAAGTGGAAACATCATATCAACTTTTCAAGCAGAAAGTGGTCAGTCTGCTGTGATGCAAGGGGGCTTCATCAAGCAATTGCAATTTGCATCTTATAATTCATGAGCCATGGGTATGGCATGTGGTTTCTTAACAAAGTTATGCAAATTGATGCCATGCAACACACAACTACAGCGGTTCAAGAGCTCTTCTTGGTAATTCATTTGAAGTGGGGCTTTAAAACTTGACATGTAGCTGTAGTTTATGCTGTATGGCAACAAAGGAACTGAACCGGACCCCAAAGAGTCCGGTGCACTCAAAAGTTATTGATCCAGGATATTATCAGGTGCCTGCATGGGTGGGGAACTGTATAAGAGAATCAGGAACTTAGGATTTTATGCAGCGCCATTCTTTATTGACTAATCCTTTGTTTCCATCTACTCCATGGAAGACATAATTGCTACTCCGTATGTTTTAAGATTTAGAAAAACAGGTTTAAATGTGCTGCAAGTTCCAACAATAACATTCTCTTTGGCTGTACATTGCAGGAATAGCAGCAAAGTCTCCCCTAGCTGTGATTGGAACAAAAGCCGTGTTGTTGAACACTAGAGATTTGACAGTGGAGCAAGGTTTAGACTACGTCGCAACATGGAACTCTGCTGTCCTTCCATCCGATGATTTGAAAGAGGCAGTCTCAGCTCAAAGAGAGAAGAGAAAACCGGTTTTTGCAAAACTATAGAGTTTGACTGAAGGCTATACGCCCAGAAAAAGGATTGCACCCTAATTCTACCGCCAAACCGCCCTTGCCCTGGTGCTTGGCGGGTTTGTGTGCAGAGAAGAACGTTCAAGGATGGTGGGCATTTTGCAAGACATGAATGAATGTCTATCCTAGGATTGACAGATTGGACAACTGTGTAAAATTCTTAGTTTCATACTTATCCTTTGTAGCATCAAATGCCAGGTCTACAATTGAATAATGGATATTTCCTACTTAAATGAGACATGAAATTTCTTATGTTAGCTGAAATATTGTCATTTATACAAAAACTGCTTTCATTAAATCATTATTTAATCAGCAGCTGTTAAAGAAAAGATATGTTAAAGTTGTGATCTGATCAAATATTTATGTACAAGGCAAAATTAGTTTGAAGTTCTACTATATAGACTTCCAATCTCTATTTGCGTACTTTTACTTCCTGATATGGTAAGGGATGATGAGTTATTTTCATCATGTTGTCTCAACAAAATTATATAGACTTCCAATCTCTATTTGCGTACTTTTACTTCCTGATATGGCAAGGGATGATGAGTTATTTTCATCATGTTGTCTCAACAAAATATCAAGTAAAAGTAAGGAGTAGAACTTGGAGTTCAAGTAATATTTTTCATTAGTTTGGGCATCAACAACAAAATTAACTTCCATAAACAACAATCATCTATCAAATTAACCCCAACAAGTTTAATTCATGTAGAAACTGTCGATTGGTCTTCTTGATTTGAGACGGTTAGCTATAGACAATTTAGATGATTGGTCTTCTTGATTTGAGAAAGTTAGCTATAGACAATCTAGACTGGTTGTCCTTTGTCAGCTGATACCCGCAATCTAAGTTAATTTACCTTTTCTTGTAATCTTTTACCGGTTAGAGTTTCAAGACATGCTAGTCAAAATAACAGTTAAAGAAAGTTTTTTTTTTTTTTTTTTTTTTTTTTTGGTCTAAGTTATTACAAGATCAATAGTAGCTAGAAATATTTATTAAAACGTCAAAATTAGTTAGGACATCAATAACAAAATAATTATTTTTATAAACAATAATAATCTATCAATTGGGTTGTTTGACACAGAGGATTAACTTCATAAATTATGATTGATTAACTATTGAGTTTTTTTTTTTTTTTTTCAAAAAAAAATAATTTAATTTAACTCTCAAAACATAACTAATCAACTAACTCAAAATAAATTTATAAATTTAAAGTATATCACATCAACAATATTTTTACTGTTAGAAGTAATGCTATCATTTTTTTTAATTACAAAATGGAATTGTTATTGTGATTAAAAATTAAAATTATTCACTGAACCCCAACCCTAAGGGCCCTCCACACTCCGGCCCGACAGAAAAAAAAAAAAATTAAAATTATGATCTGAGAGTACGGTAATAAGTGGTATTTTTACCGTTAGAAGTAATTCTATCATTTTTTTTTTTTTTAATTACAAAATGGAATTGTTATTGTGATTAAAAATAAAAATGATGATCTGAGAGTACGGTAATAAGTGGAGCCCAGCATTGAAGGTTGCAGTGTGTTTGGTGATTGGTGTTTGGTCTTCCTGAGAAGTTGAAAGAAAAATCCAGAAGAAGAAACCATATTTGCTGTACACTGCACACGTGATGGTTTACGTACATTATACATACATACCTCCTAAACTATCGGTGGATCCAAGATTATCCTAATTCTTCGATCACCCTTTAAAGACCTATCCATTACCAGAATCAAACGTCTTCATTTTTCTCTCCATTTTCTTCCAACAACGTAACCATATATAATGGCTGTTCTTGTTTCGGAACTGCCCGTTCTTGATCAACTCCCAGAAAACGCTACATTGTCCTTCTCAACCTCTTCCTCGCTCGCCCAAGGTCTCGCCTTTTCTTTTTTCTTTTTGGAATTTATATATGGTTATTTGGGTGTGGATTTTGTTGGGTTTTCATCTCATATCTTTCGGTTCTTGGAAAATGGGGGTCGGTTTTGGATTTGTGTCAGGTGGAGAAAATGGGAACGATGACGGAAAAATATGCGGCGGCCGGAAGGTGTTGTGGAAGAACAAGGAGAAGAAGTTTGTGGTGATGGGACACCGAGGGAGCGGGATGAATATGCCGGAGTTTTCTGATCGGAGAATGAAAGCTATCAGAGAGAACACACTCCGCTCCTTCCGGAACGCCGGAAAATTTGATCTTGATTTCGTTGAATTTGACGTTCAGGTAGTGTTTTTGGATTCTCCCTTCCTTCCTCCATAGTGCTTTTTTTTTTTTAGAGCCGAACATATAACCTTATAGTTAATCGGCTTTCTTGATAGTTAATTGGCTTTCTTGAAGTGGTCAAGATCATTAGGTGAAAAGAGTAAACCAAAATGTCATTGCAGGTAACAAAGGATGGCTGTCCGGTTATTTTCCATGATGTATTCCTCTTTAATGAAGAAAGGGTCAGTTCACTACTTCTATCATAATGCTATTCAAAAGGGTGTTTGGTAAATACGTGTTAACTCATTGAGTTAATGAGTTTGACTAGTTAATAGCTTTAGCTGACTGTAAAAAATGTTTGGTAAATTAGCTGATTACATATAGAATGACTTTTTCAAAAAGTTTGATAGAAAAAGTTAATTTTAGTGTTTTGAAACAATAAGCTGTTACAAAAAAGTTAATTAATTAAACAATTATTTAATCAAGTCAAGCAGTTAATAGTGATCAAAGAAGTTAAAATTGACTGATAGGCTAACATATCAGCTCTAAACTTGCCCACAAAAGGGGCAATACTATGCCCCAGGGCCACAAGATAGTGGCGGGATAAATTATTGTGATTAGTTGTTTATTAGGTAGAAGGATCAGACACCATGCTCACAAGGAGTCCATCATGTTAAATAACTTCCACACAATTGGCATGTTTTCGAAATGACTTTTAAATTATATACCTATAGCTAATGAATTAATATATTATGTGTCGACCAAGATTCACAATGCAAGATGAATTCCGGTCCATAGTATAATTTATTCTCGCACACCATGACCGACAGTGTTCAATCATGTGTCCTTGTCCAAAATCTACTGTTCATATATGGATTTGTTGTTGTTTTGTTTTCAGGGCGTAATTGTTGAGAAGAGAGTTACAGACCTGACTTTAGATGAGTTTCTTTCCTACGGACCTCAGAGGAATGAACAAAACGTAATGAAAATCACTAATCCTTAATTTCCAAATCTGACTGCAATTAAGACTATGGTTATGGAGTTCATTATGCAATTATTTGATTTTTTGGTTGGAAACAGGTGAGAAAGCCTCTATACAGAAGAACAAAAGATGGGAGAATCGTTGAGTGGGAGGTTGAAGATGACGATCATCTATGTACATTGAAAGATGCATTTCAGCAAATCAGTCCTTCTCTGGGCTTTAACATTGAATTGAAGTTCGATAACAACAGGGTTTATACAGAGGAAGAACTCGTTAGGGTCATTCAAGAAACCTTGCAGGTATGCTGGCTCTTAAGTGTTTGAACATATAAACGAACAATTTAAGCCTTTAGTTGAGACAGAACACGTTCGTTTGATCTGGTATGCAGGTGGTGTTTGAGCATGGCGACGAGAGATTGATCATGTTCTCGTCTTTTCAACCCGATGCAGCCCTTGTAACCCGAAAGCTGCAGAATGTGTACCCTGTAAGCAGTTTAACGTTGGGGCGATCAAATATTTGTTGTCTCCTTTGAGTGTGTTCTGACATGCCAGATTTCGATCTCCAGGTTTTCTTCCTAAGCAATGGAGGAAACGAAATCCACTCGGACATGAGAAGAAACTTGTTAGACGAGGCGATCAAGCTATGCTTGGAAGGTGGCCTGCAAGGAATTGTGTCTGAGGTGAAAGCCATCTTGAGAGATCCAAAAGCCATTGCAAGAATCAAAGACTCCAATCTTTCCCTGATAACATATGGCCAGCTCAAGTAAGTTGCACACTGCAGATTCATTACAAACTATAAAACCAATCCGGGGGGAAACCCTAGCTGGTCAGACAGTTAATTTGGTAACTCCTAGCTGAAGCTGTCTATTGGCCTTTTTGGTTTGAACCGATTAACTATGGACAACCTAGGCTAGACTGATTTATCTCCTTTGCCAGCTAAAGGCGGGGTTTACCCAGTGCACACTTTCAGGTAGTGGTTGCGGGTTTCCTTCGTGACCTAATAATTAAACCAATCATTCTTCTGAAAAACCCATTATTATTGCAGCAATGTGGATGGGGTGGTGTACATGCAATACAAGATGGGGGTTGAGGGAGTGATTGTTGATGTTGTTGAAGAGATTATTGAAGCAGTTTCAGAATTCAAAGAATCATCAGATAGTGGTGAGAAAGGGCATTTGTGCAGAGAGAGAGTGAAGAAAATGGGTCACTGCTCTGAGGAAGAAATCTCCAGTTTATTCAGGCTTGTACCTGAACTAATGCAACAGTGTTGCACTTCCTGTCTATAGTTGTTTCATTCAGAAAACCAAACAAAAATCCTTAATTTTGTAACATAACATTAACAAACTGTGTGTACTATACGTCAAAGTAGGGTTACAAGTTGTGTGTACTATACGTGTATTCAAATGCTATGTGTATATAGGCCATAGCTAAACTCATAGGTTGATGTCTAGCAATGTATACAATGCAATTATTGCACTAGGAAGGATTCGGAATAGATGTTGTTGAACTAATAATACGATAATGAGGCTCACATGAGCAAAGTCACAACTCAAAAAGTATTAATATTAGAGTACCTGATTTTATTTATTTTTTAATTATTATTACATCTTGTGGGTTTGCTTCGATTTGAACAATTTAGTGTTATTTCACTAAAAACGACATAAATTTGAGTGAAAAAAAAACCCATTTAAAAAATAGCTAATCGGCAACTTAAACGCCCGCCTAGGTCACCTTTTTTGAATGATACTGGCCCTATTACATTGTAGTATCTGTTCATATACTTTCTCAACCTACTGAAACACAAAGAGCCAATCACGCCTCCACTGAGGCTCGAATTCACAACCTTCCAAATGGAAGTCCAACCCGGATACCATTAGACCACATAGTCCTGGTCACCTAGAACGATAATTTCGCCGAAATTTTAGGCAGTCTGCCACCGCCTAGCGACTAGTCACAATTTTTGCAAAGTCAAACCACCTAAATGTTGAATTATCAACCCATTTATCAAACACTAATTACATCTTGGTTATGACTACTTTATATATAACATATAAACATATATAAGCATATAAGTATATTAGTTAAATTTGTAATATTATATGTATATTTGGTATAAAATAGATGTAAAAAAATTAAAGAAAAAAAGAAAAAAATCGATTAGGGAGGCGAGTTGCTTGAGATGAGTAATAACAAATTTAAATGCGACTTGACTCGTGTTGGGTTGGGCTTCCCTCCTATGTGGTAAATAGCTCATGTTTGGACCAAGCCAATTTGTATCCACTATATTTTGTTGGACTTCCTCTCATATTGAACCCTAATTATTATTATTATATTTATATAATATAATAATATTTAATTAGGAATATATGGATGAATTATGGAATGGTGCGGCAATTTGCTTACCAAAATTGTGAAAAGGAAACTTCTCCTTTTTTTTTGGTTCATTCCCCATTATATATATAATGTAATATATATGTGATTTGGGTTGTTGGTGAATTGAAGACAAAACAAAATAAAAAACGTGAGAGGGAGGAGGGCAGCAGTTCGGCGGCAGCAGAGGAAGAAATTATCTTCATCTTGTTTTTTCATCCTTTGACTCAAGTGTGATGAATTTTAGCCGTGAATTTGTCTAACTTCTTGGGTGGTTTCTTCATCAAATATTATTGGAGGTCAGCTTGTTTGTTCCAGGCATCTTTTGGGTATTCTCGTACTATTTGTATTCTTTTCATCTTGCTTGTGGTGGTTGAATATTTTAAGTACGAGTTGGTATTCTGTTTAGGCCTGTGGAATATAATAGAAGTCTTTGGCCTATAATTATTTCATTTGATGATTTGTGGATGTTTGGCTCGTGTGGTAGCCTGAAACTTTGTACCCAAGATTTATTATAGTGGATTATTTGGTTGGTGGTGGTCCCGTGGTTTTTTCCCCGATTTGGGGTTTTCCACGTAAATCGTGTGTTCTTGTGTTTGATATTTATTTTTGGGCTATTGTGTATCATCTTGTGTTTGTGCTCCTGTCGGTTCTGTGATTTTTATTGTCGCAGGAAGTGGGATTTTCCCAACAAAGTGGTATCAGAGCCCTGGTTGTTGATTGGGTACATTTGACATGGAGACAAATATGAGTAATATGGTACGATTGAATGGTAGAAATTATCACATTTGGAAGGCCAAGATGAAGGATCTTTTGTTTGTGAAGAAATTACATCTACCTGTGTTTGCAACTGCAAAGTCAGAAAGCATGTCAGACGAAGAGTGGGACTTTGAGCACCAACAAGTTTGTGGTTATATTCGCCAATGGGTTGAAGATAATGTTATGAATCACATTATCAACGAGACACATGCCAGAAGCCTGTGGGATAAACTTGAGACCCTGTATGCTTCTAAGACGGGCAATAACAAATTGTTTTTGCTAAAACAATTGATGAATCTAAGATTCAAGGAAGGTACATTGATCAATGATCATGTCAATGATTTTCAGGGTGTTCTTGATCAGTTGTCTAGCATGGGCATCAAATTTGAGGATGAGGTACTTGGTCTCTGGTTGCTTAACACTCTACCTGATTCTTGGGAAACACTTAGGGTTTCTTTGACCAATTCTGCTCCCAACGGTGTTGTGACCATGGAGTATGTCAAGAGTGGTATCTTGAATGAAGAGTCAAGAAGAAGATCTCAAGACACCTCCACTTCTCAGTCAGATATTTTGGTTACAAATGATAGGGGGAGAAACAAACAAAGGGGTCAGAAAGGTAGAGATAAAAGCAGAAGTAAGTCAAGGTCATGGCACAAGGATGTTGAATGTTATCATTGTGGCAAGAAGGGTCACATCAAGAAAAATTGCTTCAAGTTGAAAAGGGAACAGAAGCAAGACAAGAAAGATGATCACACAGAGAACCAGGTTGCAACAGTTAGAGCAGATTTGCTTCTTGCTTGTGATGAGAACGCCGTCAACGTTGCATGCCATGAGACAACTTGGATTGTAGATTCAGGCGCATCTTACCATGTTACACCAAGGAAGGAATTCTTTACTTCATATAGTCCAGGTGATTTTGGAGAGCTAAGAATGGGTGATGATGGTCAGGTGAAGGTGATTGGTACCGGTACAGTTTGTCTTGAGACCAGCAATGGCACAAAGCTGGAACTTAAAAATGTAAAGCATGCACCGGGTATCAGACTGAATCTCATTTCTACAGGAAAACTCGATGATGATGGTTTCTGTTGTTTCTTTGGTGATGGACATTGGAAAATCACTAAAGGCTCACTGGTTATTGCACGAGGTAACAAGTCTTCTAACTTGTACTCTTTACAAAGCTCTATTTCTGGTGATTCAGTGAATGTGGCAGCAAAAGAATGTGCATCAGAATTGTGGCATAAACGACTTGGCCACATGAGTGTGAAGGGGATTGATTACCTTGCCAAGAAGAAGAAGCTTTCAGGAGTAAAGGAAGCTAGATTGGACAGATGTGTTCATTGCCTGGCAGGGAAACAGAAAAGAGTTTCTTTTATGAGCAATTCTCCTTCGAAGAAGCCGGAGCCACTTGAGTTGATACATTCTGATGTGTGTGGACCAATGAAGGTTAGATCACTTGGAGGTGCATCTTACTTTGTGACCTTCATTGATGATTATTCTAGGAAACTCTGGGTTTACACTTTGAAGCACAAAAGTGATATGTTTGGTGTGTTTAAAGAGTTTCATGCCCTTGTTGAGAGACAGACATGGAAGAAATTGAAGTGCATCCGTACTGACAATGGCGGTGAGTATCGTGGCCCATTTGATGAGTATTGCAGAATGCACGGTATTAGACATCAGAAAACTCCTCCTAAAACTCCTCAATTAAATGGCTTAGCAGAGAGGATGAATCGGACAATTATGGAGAGAGTCAGATGTATGCTTGATGACGCAAAGTTGCCTAGTTCTTTTTGGGCAGAGGCAGTTTCCACAGCTGTTCATGTTATCAACTTATCTCCCGTTATTGCTTTGAATAATGAAGTTCCTGATAAGGTTTGGTGTGGAAAGGAAGTTTCTTATGATCACCTCAGAGTCTTCGGTTGTAAGGCATTTGCGCATGTCCCAAGAGATGAAAGATCTAAGTTGGACTCGAAGACTAGACAATGCATTTTCATTGGTTATGGTCTTGATGAATTTGGCTACAAGCTGTATGATCCAGTTGAGAAGAAGCTTGTGAGAAGCCGTGATGTAGTGTTCTTTGAAGATCAAACCATTGAAGATGTTGACAAAGTGAGAAAGCCAGTATCTCAAGACAGCGGAAGTTTGGTTGACTGTGAGCCAGTTTCCAGCGAAGATACACATGATGTTGATGAGGTTCAAGAGAATGGCCAGAATGGTGATCTTGTACCAGACAATCAGGGTGATACAGCTGATGTGGATGGTCATGTTGATGATGTTGTGCACCAGGAACAAGAAGTTTCTTCGCAGGTTCCAGTTGATCCTCCTAGAAGGTCTAACAGGGAACGGAGACCATCTACTCGTTACTCTTCCAGTCAGTATGTGCTATTAACTGATGGGGGAGAACCTGAGTTCTATGAAGAAGCTATGGAGAGTGAGCAAAAGAGACAATGGCTTGAGGCTATGCAGGATGAGATGAATTCCCTATATGCAAATGATACCTTTGAGTTGGTAAGGGCACCAAAGAACAGGAAAGCTTTGAAGAACAGGTGGGTCTACAGATTGAAACATGAAGAGGGCACTTCAGTTCCACGATTCAAAGCTCGACTGGTGGTGAAAGGTTTTAGCCAGAAGAAAGGTATTGATTTTGATGAAATTTTCTCTCCTGTTGTGAAATTTTCATCCATTAGAGTTGTGTTGGGTCTAGCAGCTCGTTTGGATTTAGAAATTGAGCAGATGGATGTAAAGACAGCTTTTCTCCATGGTGATTTGGATGAGGAGATATATATGGAGCAACCTGAGGGATTCAAAGTCAAAGGGAAAGAGGATTATGTTTGCAGGTTAAAGAAGAGTTTGTATGGATTGAAGCAAGCTCCGAGGCAGTGGTATAAAAAGTTTACTTCCGTTATGAGTAAGCATGGGTACAAGAAGACTTCTTCGGACCACTGTGCTTTTGTAAACAGATTCTCTGATGATGACTTTGTTATATTGTTGCTTTATGTTGATGATATGTTGATTGTTGGTCGCAACGTTTCAAGAATTCAACAATTGAAACAAGAGTTGAGTAAGTCTTTTTCTATGAAGGACATGGGACCAGCAAAGCAAATTCTTGGGATGAAGATCATTCGTGACAGGCAGAACAAGAAGTTGTGGTTATCTCAAGAGAAGTATATAGAGAAAG